CAATTGGGTTGAAGGAAGGCCATAAAAATGACTGTTACAGTAGTCCAGGCGGCTTATAACGAAAGCCTGCACAAGAATCTGAGTTGTATGTTGATCGAGGAACTTCCTAATACGTCTAATGTTATAAAGGTGAAAGAAGGCAGCTTTGCAGCATTTAGTAACATGGGTGTCCATTTTCATCTGCAAGTCAAACCAGCAGCCGAGGTTCTTGGTGTTCTCAACACAAGTAACAACATTGCTGCCAACACGAATATTGTTGAAGTCGATTTTTTTCGAGTTGTTGCCACGTCCCGATTAGAATTACTTCAGTTTTTCCCTCGTTGAGTTTCAGTCTATTAGCAAGCATCCATCGTTTGATGTCATCAATGCACATCTCAACAGTTCGGACTGCAGTTTCTTGGTCGATACGAGAATCTGCGCGAAACGAGATATAAAGCTGGGTGTCGTTGGCATAAGCATGTGCATCTGGTAGGTGACGCTCTATTAACTCAAGTAGTTCGCTTACATAAAGAACGAACAGAAGCAGACCTAGACACGATCCCTGAGGAACACCACAATCAACATTGAATTTCTCGGAAGACACACCGCCAATTGTAACTCTTTGTGTTCGCTGAGAAAGGTAAGATGTAAACCATTTAAGAACAGTTCCAGATAGACCGAATTTCAATTGCAGGCGCTGAAGTAGGAGAACATGATCGACGGTATCAAACGCAGCACTGAGGTCGAGCAGTACAAGTAAAGTGACGTGTTGCCTATTCATGTTCATAAGTATATCGTTCTTAACACGCAGTAGTGCTGTCTCGGTGCTATGAAATTCTCGATATGCCGATTGATTACCAGGGTACAAATGATGAACTGATAGATGATTATGGGATTGATTGCAAACTGTCCTTTCGACTAGTTTTGAAACGTATGGGAGGTTGGAGATAGGTCATAGGTTTTCAAATATTACTTCCAAGCCTTGTTTCTTGAGTCTAGGCTGGACATCAGCCTCTTTCCAGACACATGGGAAAATGCCAGACTCAGTGAAAGGTTAATCATTTTGGTAATAACAGGCAGAAGAATATCCAGGCATTCGACGACCAATTTAGTTGGGATAGGATCCAAGGAACTAGATTTCTTGTTTGACGAGGTTATTAGCCGTTCAGTATCATCATCGCTCATAGGAGAAAATTCTTGATAAATCTGGTCACTGTGAGTGAGACCGACGGCATGTCAGAAAAAACTGCTTGTTCATAGGTTGATGCTGTATCAAGTTCAGAGCGAATATTGATAATCTTTTGAGCAAAGAATTGTCCTAAATAATTAGAGAGAGCATTGCTGTCGTTATAGTGGGGAAAGGCAAGATCAGCATCATGTCTAAAAAGACCTTTAGTTGCACGAAATACTTTCCTTTGATCTTGACTGTTCTCTGAGATAAACTGTCTATAGAAATTTTGCCGCGCTTGGTTCATAAGAAACGTTGTATGATTTTTCGCAGTTTTAAAAGCAAGGAAATCAGTCGGAAGTTTAGTACGTCTCCATTTTCTTTCTGCTTTCCTTCTCAAACGCTTTGCACATTTAATCTCATCATTGTACCATGGGACAGCAGGCCTGGTGGTAATAGTCTTGGAAATCAGTGGCGCTTGATGATTTAGAGCAGTCATCAAGGTATTATTATAGCATGAAACCAGGTCTATAAGCTTGGATGGTGGGTTTTTACAGAGGTCGGAAGAGGATATTTCTTCTTTTAAAGCCTCGATATTGACAGATTTAAGTTTACGAAAAGAAATATGTTTCTGTGTTAGTGGTACTGCGTTAGATTCAAGGTTACAAAGAACAGCGTTATGGTCAGAAAACAAATGGTCAACCCTCGGAATGCTGGTGATGATATTATCAGTCTGCTTGGTGATTATTAAATCAAGGGTATGGCCAGAGCAGTGAGTGGCGCCTCTGACATGCTGTTTAAGTCCGGTACTTTCAAGGAGATCAAGGAATTTAATGGAATCTAAGTTGTCCGTACAGTCGGCGTGGATGTTGAAATCACCCGTTATTAGGAGAGGGTCGTTGGACAAAGTAATTGATTCCAAGAAGTTGGTAAACTCAGAGAAAAATACACTTGTAGTCACCGGATGAGCGTCTGAGTACGGAGGTCGATACACAATTATTAAATGTAGGCGGCGAGATCCATTGACAACGCTCCATTCAGAGTATTGAAAGGAACGAAGTTCGCCAGCAGCTAGATTTTTGACAGTAATATTCTCCTTAAATAGAATTCCTGTCCCACCACCTACACCATTAGAGCGGGGGTGGTCGAGGAGATTGTATCCATTTGGCGTGCACAATACTCTAATAGCCGACTCAGTGTTTGTAAACCAAGTTTCAGTGAGTGATACAATATCTGCAATCAACAACATAGTCGATAAATTGAGCAGCCTTGTTGTTAAGTGACTGTGCATTAAGTACACATAGTGTAAACAGTTCACCGATCATATTGTTGTTAACGTGCAATGTTGTTAAATCAGGCTTACTGTAATAAGATTCCTAGAGCAACCCACTGTGGATTGTTGTCTGTACATATTGTCTATTGACTTACAGTACCAGCAATTACATATGTAATAGTATGACAACTGACTTTTGTATAAGGCCTCTGAGTTATGTCCATTGTTAGCATAATATGAAATAATCCTACCACCGGTCAACATTAATACATTCATCTGGCTGTGTTACTACATTTCAGAGTATATTATATTTTTCGATAATGCTCACAATATATAAATATAATTTTGCAGTTCTGACCACAGAATCAAGATTCGTACCAGAAGGGCCACTCAGCGGTGCAACATGTGGCCATTTTTCTATGCAAAAATATGCAGTTGACTGGCCAGAAGGAGGGGCTTTCAGCCAATACAGCGCGTTTATTGGCCAGAAAATGTAATCGACTGGCTAGGATGGCAGCCAGGATGACAGAAACTTCAAAGCTTCCGACGTAAGTGGCCCTTCTGTGTGCCTTATTCTGTGGTTCTGACTGAGTACAATCTTAATCATTACAATGAATGGTGTCATTTGAAGCTGACATATTAATCATCTTAATTGGTTGTTCTTGTGATATGGGTAGCCTTGAAGGTGGCATTAAAACAATAATTGGATTATTGGAACAAACCCCGACTTAGTATTTTTATGTATTAAAACATTGTACAGTATTCAGTGACAAGCTACAATCTTGGACAAAACTGGTTGAGACCCAGTGTAATATTCATGCCATAAAAATATATTCCGTAGCTATGTCCATTAAATTATGGATTTATTTTGATGTAGCCCCCACTCCCCCAGTCCAATGTTGCTAGTATTTGATAGTCACATAACCCAGGTACATGTTTTCGCCCCAGCAACATTGAATCAGGGGGGAGAGGGGGGCAAAACCATGGAAATTTTAAACACTCATGAACATGACATTTGATCTCATATTTGTCTTAATTGTATGGTCCAAGATTGTCTGAGAGTGCACCACTTGTGTGGCTGTGTAAAACTAGCAAATAACTATGGGTTAATTGAGGGAACCACTGAGTATTTTCATAAAATACAATACAACGGTAACTCCGAATAAAGTAAGCATTTTGATTCAACATGTTTCGACTTTATTTAGTCATCATCAGGAATGGTTATATTACAAGTGCATGTGTTATATATACTCTACATAATTTGATATATAATTAAAAGAAAACCGATAGTTCTCTGGATGCTTTAGTCCCATGATTCAGTTCCGGTTTTTGTCGATGAATGGCGAGTGCTTCTTTGAACAGCAGATTTGACCAGTGCTTAGCCCTGTCTATGATGTTGCAGTTGTTCAGTAGGAAGGCTGTTAGGTTAAATTGGTCAGTGTTGGGTTCGTCTATGTTCAGTTGTAATAGATTTGTGAGATAGTTGAATTGTTCGCAAGTGTTAATGTGTTTATAAATCTCTGAGTTTTTGTCTGTGATTGCATGTTCGTTCAGTCGTGTGTAGAGGCATCTGTCTGTCTTTCCTATGTATGTTTTGCTGCACCCAGGACATGAAAATTTATAAACCACTGAACTTTGAAACTCCTTAAGTGTTTTATCTTTGCACGAAACAAAGCAGCCTGTTATGGTGGTATCCCAATAAACAATGAACTTACACTGTTGTTTTAGTATTCGTGAAATTTTTAGTTTAAATTTGTGCATAAGGTCAGTTCCGTCTTTACCCATGTATGGAGGTCGAACATAAACTTTGCCAACTTGCTCTGTTTGGTCTTCGATGTGGTTGTTAATGTTAGAACTCATGTAAACTTGATCCGCCTTAGGAGTAAATTTCTGTATAAGTTTGTTGGCCAATGTTTTAGGAAATCCATTCCAAGACATAAATTTCCAAATTTTCCTCATTTCGTCCGAAATTAAACTTTCGTTACTACAAATTTTGTAAGCTCTATGTACAAGTGACCTGATCCACGCAATTTTGTACGACCACGGAGTGAAACTAGATAAATGGATATACTGGCCTGTGTGTGTGCTCTTACGAAAAATCGAAGTGCCGTTAGGTGTTAATTTGATATCCAAAAAATTTACCTCATTGTTATCAACAAACTCTTCATGTGTGAACTGTATATCCGGATGGTAGCTGTTAAGTTTATTTAAAATCAAGTTAATATCAGATGGTTTGGCTAAAACTAATGTGTCATCAACATATCTTATATAGAATTTTATAGTATCGTTTTCGAAAAGGTCTTTTATTATTTCGTCTTCTAATGCGATCATGATGATGTTGGCTAAAGTTGGACTTAAAGGCAAATCCATCGAAACTCCGTCAATTTGCTTATAAAGATCCCCGTTAGCGAAAAATTGAGTTTCGGTGCAAGAATCAAGGAGCAATTTTTTGAGTGTTCGTTTCTTGAGTGTGGTCGTTATAATGCTTTCGTCGTAAATCTTTTTTAAAACAATCTGAACTGTTTTGTGAAGTGGTATGTTGGTAAATAAAGATTTAACATCAAAAGATATAAATCGGTAACCGTCTGTGAATAGGTTGTCGGGAATGTTTTGGATTCTGTTTACCGCGTCAAAGCTGTCTGTTAAGCTAAATTCGTCATCCAGAGAACTATCGGTTTTCTTTTAATTATATATCAAATTACGTAGAGTATATATAACGCATGCACTTGTAATATAACCATTCCTGATGATGACTAAATAAAGTTGAAACGTTGAATCAAAATGCTTACTCTGGGTTAAATCAGGTTAATCTGTATTTATACATTTTAAGTTATATCTAAGACATTCCTAATAGTATTTTAAGTATTTAAATAAGGTGTCTAAGTAAATAACAGTGACTCTGGTGAGGCTAATGCACAAGAGTTGGAAAATGGTAGTCGCTCAGTGTACCTTATTACATATAGTCAAGCCGATGAAGCAGTATTTCCAACACAGAAAGACTTTGCTTTAGGAGTTGAGAAGTCCTTTTCGACTAGCAAAGCTAAGGTCTTGCAATGTTGTTGCTCAGACGAGGAACACAGAAACAAAGGAAACATTACCATATAGTGGTAAAACTTACACAAAACCAACGATGGCTCACCTCTAAGAGGTTCCTAATAGAAAATTACGGCGTAAGTGTCCACAACTCGAGTGCCCATCACGACTATTACAGTGCATGGAGATATGTCACGAAGTCGGATAAAGATTTTGTTCAAAGTGAAAACCACCCCCGTGTACAAGAGGCTCCTAAACCAAAAACGACTAATGTGAGCCGGGCCAGATGCACCAAGAGGAAAGTGAAACGTCCAGCTCGATATTCTAGTGCCCAGGACACCTTGCTCGAAGATGAAGACGAAGAAGGAGAGAGGCCAACCGCCAGGAAACACAAAAAAGGCATTCGAGGTGTCGCAGATCATGGTAGAGGGGAACATTAAGAATTTGACTGAGCTTCAAGCCCTTGCGTTTGAACAGAAAGAGGAAGGAAAAACTGATCTGGCCGAGTTCCTAGTCAATTGAACTCCCAGAGCAGTTGCTGATATGATGCAATCTACATGGGAGATAGAGGAAGCGAAAGCTAAATTGGAGAGAGCAAAGAAAACAAGAATGGAACTGCGACAGGAGGCAAGACAGAGTGAATGTGCACAAGGTTGTAATGGCGATTGGTTAAGTTGTGCTGAAGAGATTCTTCACAATAATGGCTTATCAGTAGAGTACTTTGGCAAAGTCGTACGCGACCTATTAAGCAAGGGCCAAGGGAAGTTCCGAAATATAATGCTAACAGGTCCAGCAAATTGTGGGAAAACGTTTCTCCTCAACCCTCTCACACTTATTTTCAACACCTTTTGCAACCCAGCTTTGGGCACTTTCACATGGATTGGGGCAGAAACAGCTGAGTGTATCTTTCTCAATGATTTTCACTGGTGTCCACAGCTGTTGCCATGGCACGACCATAGAAATATTAGATCTAGAATGTGTGCTTGGTCACATGACCGGTGTCCAAATTGAAAACAAAAATGCCCTTATAAACCCGCCATGTTGAATTTGAGCATAGGAGTGCAAAATACAAAGTATAAACAAAGCTAAAACTAAGTTTTCATCGTCAAAACGTTTAATTTGTCTGCTGTCTAATTTGTAGTTTGCGATCTGATAGATTTTGAAATATTAAGTTATTTAATTTAAAGGCTCAAAGGAAATGTGCAGTGACTGACAAAAACGGTGAAAATCGTGCAGCCTTGTAAAAGCAAAGTAGTTTCGCGTAAATATAATTTACTCATAAAACATTTTTGCATGCTCTGAACGTAACTGTTTTGCTAATATCTAATGAAATTACGAAAAGATAGTTTATTCTTTGTTGGGTTTCGTTTTTCTTCAATCTAAACGAAGAGTTTTAATGTTTTTGAAACAAACATTTTAGTTGTCGATAAACTGTAAATCGCCTATATAATCGTCAAAAGCTATATGGTTTCAAAAGCGTTGCCTCAAGCTCAAGCAACGTAGAAAAATATAAAAAGTAATTGTGTAAGTTTAAAAAGATTATTGAACTCCATTTATATTATAAGACAGTTGAAATATTTTTAGAACATACCTGTTGAGTTTGTCTTGATTTAAATTAAATATTCGTGTTATGTTTTGGCTTGCACAACAACATTGAAAATGTATTTTTAAACGACGATTTCTGTATATATTCTGTTCAGAACTATTGCTTTTCGTAAAAAAACCACGGGAATGTTTTTTTTTTTCTTTACATAACATTTTTTCCACTTTAAGTCTCGATATAATTGTTTTTGCAAACTTTGTTGAAACAATTGAAAAAAACAATTCGCGCTCCCTGCAACCGTGCGAAATTCCTTGCCGGAGGAGTCTGGGACTAGCCAAAATGCCCTTATAAATCCGCCATTTTGTGGCGACAAAATGTTTACTGAGAAAAGATAGGAGCACGCATTCTATGTCTATTATTTCTATGGGCACGACTTACTTTTGTTGTTGGAAGGCCATGTAGTTCATTTACCAGCACCCAAAACCTACTTTTCCAAGGACATAACCTTCGAAAATGATACCCCAATATTTTGCACAAACAAGAACCCATTGGTTTTCATAAAAAATGGCGTTATTGATGAGCGAGAAACCGAAATGATGCATGTGCGTTGGAAATTAATCCAATTCAACTATCAAATCCCGCCAAACACCCAGTGGGAAATTACGTCATGCGCATGTTGTTTTGCAACGTTAATATTAGGCTAATATTCCAACTATTTCATCTGAATTTTTTATAGAACGGTTAACCTACTAAAAACTTTATGGTTGTCTCATAAAAGCACGGTAAACAGGTGTTTTTGACGGTAAACAGCCAACTTACTAAAATAACAATGATTGATCTCTAATCTATTATTAGAAATCGTAGTTTTTGCTGTTTATCGTGTTTTTTTTCGAGAGCAAATGCTTGGTTAATCGTGCAAAATGTTTCTATTTGTAGTTTGTTGATCATTACCATAGGAATTAATATATATAGAACAATACAGAACAAGAAAAATGTCAAAACTAGTGTAATTGTATGTTAGTACAAGATATTGCATGCCACAGGAGGCCCTAAACCGTCTGCGATAATACACAAAACAGTGTTAATGTCTTTTAAAGTGTTTATAATCTTATTACATCTTCAGTGTTTTATTCTCTCGCCTTTAGAATGAATTACTAAGTCTAATCTATGGTTCATTGACTTAATGCTATTGTCAATTTCAGTTGTAGAAAAGTTATACATTGTCCTTTTAAGGTGAGCAGTGAACTCGTCAAAACTTTCACAAGTTATATTATTTTCTAGTGCATCTAATCGCAATTTCTTTTTCACTCTATGAAATAGATTCTCGATTGGATTGAGATCTGGACTCCTGGCAGAAATTTTTAGCTGTTCAATCTTAATTTTTTGCATAGTTTCTCTCACTATACTTGAATTTTGTACAGGACAATTGTCCTGAACAAAAATATTCTAATGCCGTTTGTGGGCTTTGGCAAACAGAATAGTAAATCTACTATCTACAAAAGAAGCAAAAAATGGCCCATCCATCTTTTCATATCTATAATAATCAATGACCCCTTTGCCATAGCTTATTGCGACTAAAAGCTTGAGTACTTTGCCACCACTGCCTTCTTTACTCCCTTTTGCAGTACAGCCTTGCTTTAATCCTTCGGACTTTTGACGCCATACTCTACCATGTGGAGCCCTCGCTTGGTCTGCTGGATTTTTCTTATAGTAGAAACTAACACCATCTAAATATAAATCCGACCAGTTCAGTCCATACTGTTTCTGGATATGATTTCTTGACTTTCTTCGCAAACGCTACTCTTTTCTTGAGATCAGACAAAGACATTAGTCCTTTTTTTCGAGCTTGCAAGAATTGGTAACCGTGTCTTTTGAGACACCTTCTCACGGTTCTATTGCTTACTTGGCTTTCTTGTATCCCTGCCCTTTCCATTAGACACTTAGACGAGAATTACCCTTCTTTTCTTAGCAGTTTTAATGTGCGTATAAGCTTTATCTCATGAGTCCAACTTCCTAGGTCTACTGCCGGCATGATTGCCTTTATTAGTTGTGTTAGTCAGAGACTTTTTTGCTGCCTTAATTCGATATACCGAAGCACATGAAATGCCAGTTTTCTCAATAATTTCCCTTGTTGATATTTTTTCGTTTTCAGCCAAATATTTTACATAAGCTCTTGTTTCTGCTCTAATAAGCCCTTTAAAAACCATGTTTCTCTCTCACACACAAATATTGAAATACAAAATGTCATGAATACTAGTCTCACGAAACTTTGTGATAGAAACTAATTTAATAACACCTCAATCATTAATTACATGTCATTGAGTAAGTGTACATTTTTAATATTTAACTCTTGTTTCAATGGTCATTTTGCATCCAAAATACACAGCATCATTATTCAGACAATCTTGGACAAAACTGGTTGAGACCCAGTGTAATATTCATGCCATAAAAATATATTCTGTAGCTATGTCCATTAAGTTATGGGTTTATTTTGATGTAACCCCTCTCCCCCAGTCCAATGTTGCTAGTATTTGATAGTCACATAACTCAGGTACATGTTTTTGCCCCAGCAACATTGAATCAGGGGGAGAGGGGGGCAAAACCATGGAAATTTTAAACACTCTTGAACATGACATTTGATCTCATATTTGTCTTAAGTGTATTGTCCAAGATTGTGGCAGCGTTTACACTGTACCGTTTTCCTAGCGTTCTCGTATTGTTCGAGAGAACTAGACTATTGTCTTGTGTTCCCTTGTTTAGTAAACGCTGCCTGTAGCTATGGCAACTGGCCATGCTATGCTAATAAACCTGCAGCCATTTGAATAATGCAAATCACTAAACTTGCATAACACGACCTGTTGCTATGGCTAGCTTCACCACTGACAGTATTATAATTATGCATACAAAAGCAAGAAGTTATAAACATTGAAGATATCCATATAAAACCGCCCATGCCAAGAAAGTAGAATTTGAACATTTAGCCGACCCTTGACCTTGTGCAAGGTGTTTGATATTCAAATTGCACTGTTCCTATCTCCTCAACAGGTGTCTTAGGGGCTGTTTACATGACGGAAGGCAGGACAATTTTCATGTAAATATTGAAATATTAGGCCCTGTTTACATGAGACTGGGATGAAGTCAAACCGAAATGAAAATTGAAATTGTCAACATGTTTACACAAGACCATTACAAAATTTTCTATTTATTCCCCTTGCCAGGAAATTTTCTTTAATACTATTCTTAGATAGCTTTTGTTAACATGTGTTGTTCCAGTGTCAAGGTAACAGCCGAGACCGGTCTGAAATGTCTTTGTTCGGCTCGGTCCAACAGGTGGAATGACTTGAGATCTTGTGGTTGAAGAAGGTTATTATACTTGAACAATCTTTCATTTACAGTTAATTATAATCCATCTCTTGAAAATAATGTTTTGTGCTGAATTATGCACTGTGACTTATTTCAGCACATCGAAATTATCCTGCCTCATATATCGTCCTGACAAAGCGAGAACATATAAACAGACCATTGTTCAGCAAATTGCGCATGCTGCCTTCATCCCTTGGGGCGAGGCAGCATTTTCCTTGCGATAGTAACTTCTAGTTTTAAAATTTCCCAAGAGCCTCAAAACCAAATATGGTATAAACTCCTTAAAACATATACTTTATATTGGGATATAATTAACTCATCTAAAAATACGGAATAGTAGGAATTATCGGACATTTCAGTCAGAATCAGAGGTAGTTTCGATGTATAAGGTTATGCAAAAGTTGCAATTTTATAGATATTTTAGCCTCTAAACGTTCTCAAAACCTTCCTCGCCTTCCTAATAATGCAATAGATTAATAATATTTTGGTTAGCAGAAAAAAATGAGACTAAAGACTCAAATAAAACGCTCAAAA